TTTTTAAAGGCAAAATACAATCAGTTGCAAGAACAATCCCCTAAGGACTCAATCCTGCATTAACGTTTCTGTAAATGGGGCAAAGCCCTACCTAATCACTTTTCCACCAGAGTCAATACCAAATATCTCTGGATCTCCAAAGGCAGGCAGGACCAACACTGCTAAATGCCATTCTCCTGGATTGGGGCCAGGAGTTACTCATTCTCTCAAATCCTGTTGATCGCAAATACCATCTGGAAGATTGTACAAGAAGAAATCAGAGTACTGTTGAAAGTCCCAACTTGGGGCCATCTAGAATTGATATAAAAGCTGCAAATCCATCTTCCCAATTTACTTGCTCTCTTGTCTCAGGATTGGGATGAGGTTCTCTACCTGAATTCATATTCTTTCAGGCTGACAGCTTATCTTCTGGACTGCTAGAAAACTAAATCAAGAATGTTCTGCCAAAGTCCAAAAGATCCTCCTGGAAAGCAGGAAATCCTCAGCTATGCAAACCTATTTAGTGAAGTGGGAGAGATTCTACATTTAGGTAGCTCAAAAGATAATGGACCTGAGATGATCCTCCATCACTTTCATCTTGGACTGTTTACTCCACTTGGAACAATGAACAGTGTCAGAGTTCAGTCAAAGTCTACCTGGCTGTCACCTTGACTTTCTACCCTTTGAAGGGTGGATCAACAGTTTTCGTTCACCCTGCTGTAACCAAGTTTATGAAAGGGTTGTTCTCTATATTCCCTCTGGGGCACAAGCTACTTACATTATAGTATGTTAATCTTTTTTGAACCTTTGTCAGAATCTTCTCTCTACCATCTCTCTGTGAAAGCAGTGTCATTGCAAAAATCAATGATATGCACTCTCCTTAAATACAGTATTCATTTCTGTGTGCAGTATTGTTGTAGGCATGTATTCATTTCTGGGCATCCTGTCCCAAAAAGGATATAGCAGAAATAATGTGTGTTCAGAGACAGTCCGCAAGAGAATGAGACTGATTAGAGAGGAGATGAATAAGAAGGGACATAATATAATTACATGAAATAGGGAGTGGTGTACAGATGGTAAATCCAGCACTCCTGTATGTATTTTCTCAAAATATGAGAACAAGAGACATTCAATTAAATTGAAAGGCGGCAAATGTACAAAAATATTAATAAAAAGAAATACCTTTTTCCAGGGTGTGATTAAGCTGTGGAACTTATTGCCACTGGATATCATTGAGGCCAAGAGTTTAGTAAAATTTATAAAAGGATTAGACTTATTATATGGATAATGAGAAAATTGTAATATATAGGATTTAAAAAATAGAAGGGATTTAAACCCACATGCTTTAGAGAATAAGTCAACCTCTAACTGTCAGGAGCTAGGAAGAAACTTCCTTTATGGGTTGGCAGTTTCAAATTGTCAGCTATGGAGTTCTTTCACCTTCCACTGAAGCATCTGTTCCTGACTCATGTCAGAGACAGGAAACTGAACTACAGGAGCTACTGGTTTGATCTAGCACAGGGGTCGGCAACCTTTCAGAAGTGGTGTGCCGAGTCTTCATTTATTCACTCTAATTTAAGGTTTCTCATGCCAGTAGTACATTTTAACGTTTTTAGAAGGTCTCTTTCTATAAGTCTATAATATATAACTAAACTATTGTTGTTGTATGTAAAGTAAATAAGGTTCTTAAAATGTTTAAGAAGCTTCATTTAAAATTAAATTAAAATGCAGAGCCCCCCGGCCACGGAAAAACAGTTCGTGTGCCGCCTTTGGCACGCGTGCCATAGGTTGCCAACCCCTGATCTAGCATGTCAGTTTGTTTTCTTATTCTCATAATATAAACCCATAAAGTTACTCAGATACAAACCTGGTTGTTGATCCTCCCTACACTGTTTCATGAAGATAAGGTGATCCTTCATCCTGATTCTAAGTTCCTGTCTAACGTGATGTCTGATTTCCATTTCAGTCAAGCCATTAACTTGCCTGTACTTTTCCTCAAACTTTATTCATATCCAGGGAGTTCAGGCTTCATACCTTAGAAATCCAGATGTCTGTATAGAACCAAACATATCTGTACATTCCTTGGAATTTTTGCAATTCATCAGTAGAAGACCAGGGGCCTCAGTCCATCTCATGTATACGAGATTATGATCTTGCAGGTATCAGCCACTAGGGGATATCAGAGCACACTCAACTAGGTTATGGTAATTTTTATAGGTATTATGTTTTTCCAGAAAGCTAACAATACATATTTAAAAGTTTTAAATGATCAGATAAGGCAAAAATATTTACAAGTTCCGAGTGATCCTAATGGGTTAATTAGTAGTCAGGAATTCTTTTCATTTTTCTCTATTCCTACTTCTGTCTTTTGTGGGTGATGCGTAAGAGTTGACCTTTCATTAAACAACTGGTTGAGTGTATTAGGGTGTCTTAGTTTGATCGCTCAGAATCTCTCCCTTTCTCCCATAAAAAGAGAGGTGCTTGCTCCCAGGTATCACAATGCAACATCTCATTGCTGCCGTTTTCAAATAATTCATTTATTCTTTTTAGATATTAATATCACTTTGAATGCAGATTAAAATGTTTCACATACTTTTAAAGTTAGGTTAGTTTGAGCTCTTTAAAGGCTTACAGTACATTTGGTGTTTGCTACAGTTGAAACTATTCTTACTTGACTATTTAATGTGGTACTTGGCAGAATAAAATAGTGTTCCAGTAGATCTTAAACTATATTTCACGTGTTATAGCAGTGAGAGAGTTAAGAAGGCTGGGCTATAACTTTGGTAATAGAACATTCCTTAAAGTATACTAGCACATCCATCAGGCCAACCCCCTAAAATAAACATCAAGGTGCAATAGGTGATATCACTGTTTGCAGAGTTCAGCCTTGTTGCTCACAGCTTGCACAACTTGTAGCACACCAGAACACTGTGGAATCAATGGCTCACCAGAGTTCCAAGACATGATTAAAAGACTCAAGAAGGCCCTGAGAGAATTTCCTTTAATGGGGAATTGTGTGAGTGAGTATAGTGGGTGAGTTCCTTTTTTTTTCCCTCTCTCTTGCTGTGGATATTCTTTGTTTGGCAAATGCTTCTGAACTTAGATTTAATGTATGTGCATGCTTGTGTCTGGGACAGGGAATTAGTGTATTCTGTACCTTGCCATTCAGTATCAGAATAGCAGACCTATTATAGACCATTTATTTTGAACAAATATATTTTTATTGGAGGGGTACATACAGGTATGTATAAGATTTGTTGGTGGTAGGATAACCTCAGGTCTTTAAAATGATTCCTCTGGTTTTAAGAACGTTGTACCTGCTTTGATTTAATGTATGTCTTAATTTGAAATGCCTTTGGTTAACTCTTTAATGTGCACATATTTTGATGCATATAATGTGCTGTCTGCACCATTCCCATGCATGTTAATAAAAAGTGATCAATGATTTTGATACTAAATGATTAAAATTACAGCTTTTTGAACTTTGCCATTTTGTCTCTGCTCTGTTACTAACATGTTTTGATGGTTCCTGTTTTTATAAGTCTGCACTTAAAATTCCACAAGTATGACATTTGAAATAGCATGTGCATACTATACATGGAATTTTGTATTATTCAAAATACAAGCATGTTTTAGTGTTTGTAGACTGAGTATTGATTTGTTGGGAGACTGCTTTTTGTACTCTATGGCCTGTCAGTTTTGGGTTGGTGTAGAAACGTTTTTTTACAATTTATAACAGGTCTGTAAGGGCACAGTCCTCCTTCTGATATGCAAATGTAAGATCACCAGTGTATCATGGAAAATCGGCTGCTGTGCTGTGTACACAAGCACAATGGGGCAGGTTTACAAAATACATACTCGTGTTCTAGCTCATCAGAAGTTTGGATTGAGCTCTGAGTTTTCATTTTAAAAGCTAAACTGATATACAAATATAGGGCCAGATCCTGGGAGGTTCTAAGTCTCTCCTTGGTGAAGTGCCTGCCCCGAACTTCTGTTGAAGTTAGGGGTTCTCAGTATCTTTCAGGATCAGACCCAAATCATGAGAGCTATTGAGTTTTTATTCTCTGAAGTTGTTCCCTATTGAGTGTGTATATGTGTGTGTAGACACAGAAATGTCATTAACCAATGTCTAAAATGTTATAAATAGCACCATTCTTGACAATCGCTGATATAACTGCAATAGGCAGCAATTCATTGGGTAAACCTGGACAATACTAATTTTTATTTGGTATATATTTTGCATCATTTTGAACTATATTCAATAAATATAACACTTGTAAAATGACTAAATAGTTGATTTTCAAAGTTTTATTATGATGTAAAGCTATCAGTCTTCACAATTTGATTAAGAAGACTCCCACCAGTTGGGAGCAGGGAAGGATGCATTGCTTGATGCATTCGTGCCTGCGTTTTAATCCTCAGAAATATTTTGTGCAGGTCACTATAAGGAGACAGAATGCTGGATTAGATGGACTATTGGTCTGTATTCCAGTGTGACAATTCCTATTATGTTGCCAGAATTTGAAAATGTAGCTTTAAAATTTTATGCATTTCCTAGAGAGTTTAGGAGTATATTCTCCTCTGTGTAAATGTATAACTCTCATTAAAGCAAAATCCTTATAATTGGTTTAAAAACAAACCTTAATCACTGTTGCTGCCCTATAAATCCTACAGATGCTGTATGAAGTACTGTATTGTTATCTCTGTGCATTGCATGTACTTACATGTATTGACTATACTCAATTGTGTGAAACATTTTGTGATACTTTGGTACAAAAGATGTTTCCTACCATTAATACTGTAGTAAAAAGTGTATGCACTTTAGTGAGGAGAAAGAAAAACAACTTGATAGAAAGTCATTGTAAAAAATTTGGAGAGGTGAAAGGGACACATTTTTGTTTCCATTTTCCAGTTCTTTGCCTTTTACCCAAAGGCATTTTATTATTCCAAACCTAGTGTTTTACTGATAACATATGGCAGGTAGCTTTGGCCACCAGGTGAATGTTGTTTGTTTGTTTCAGTCAAGTGCCAGATGAAACCACGGTGGAAGAATTGTCTCCTCAGATTCCAAGAGCTGTGTTTGTGAAGCAGGACATTGGTGGCAATGCCTCCGTCATACCAGTGTCAACTCCCCATGGCCCACAAGGGGAGGAAGAAAAGGAGGAAACTTCAGATTCTTCTGACTTAAGCCCTTGCAGTGCTACATACAGCAATTTAGGTAAGTGCATTTACAAGACAAACTTCAGCCTCCATCCCACTTAGATGACTTATCTTGATGTGAGGGCTATTGTCTCTTAGATCACCTGACACCCTTTTGAAAATTTTGCGTTCTTAAAGAGACATTGACCCCAAACTTCACCTACTTTTAAATATCAGTTTACAGTTCTTTGTTGAAAAAAGATGCTATTGTGTCATGCTTTAGGAGCAACCTGCAGAAGGAAACCAGTGATGAAGTAAAGATTTATTCAAAATTCAGTAAGAATTTCATTTCTAAGCTTTCAAGAAATTATTTAAAACTGAGGGGAGGGGGAATATTTGTAAAAATACAAAAAATAGCCTTTGGGTTATCTGTATTAAATCTCTTGTGTAAGAGATGCCTTTTGAGAGAGCCACAATTTTTCCACATTCTTATATTTCCAAAGCCATTTTACCAGAGAAAAGTTTTGAAATAACTATTGTATAGATTATTTAACTCTTTCAGAACAATTATTAGACTAAAATATTTTTCCTGATATCCTCAGTGAAATGTAGGACTTTTTCTCTTACAATCTAGATGATGATTCCTGGCATATTTTGAAGCATCTTTGTAAATAAGAATATAATTGAATTTTATTCTAAAAAAGTTAGTGATTTACTTTTAAACTTGCAGACCAATTGAAAAGATGTATGTTCTGGAGAATATGCTGCATCATGCATGCAGCCATCAATGAATTCCTGTCCCATATTAAAGAGTTGTAGCTGTTTGGGTTTTTGTGGAAGTTTTTCTGAGAGGTCAAAGGAGGGAAGTTAAATAATTCATTATCAACAAGTGACACCAATATTATAGGCACAATAGATTTTTTTAAGGATTTTTATTTAAAAGTACTGCGAAAATAGAGATATGAGCATATAGATTTCCTAGTAAAACAAAAACAATCAAAAACCACCTATTTCGTACTTCCTTTATTTTCAAAAATATGTGATACTAATCAAAATACTAAAAGATTTTCATTAAGGCCCCAGTCCTGCAGACATTTAAGCATGTTTAACTTTTTGCATATGATGAGTTGGCTGACTGCAATGGGGCTGCTCCTAAGTGTAACGTTAAGCATGTCGACATGTGTTTGCATGATCAAGGCCTAAGTTTTGAAGCCTTCAGTTGTATAAATTCTATAGATAGGTGAGTAATAAATATTCAGTGAAAGTATTGTGGTTGTTATTGGCTAAATAGCAGACAACTGGCTGACTCAGTTTCACAAATGAAGCATTACTTAGCTATTGTTTATAAATCACTTTGAAGATGAAAGGCATAATGTAACTCTTAATATTGTGATAGACCCAGGCCAGTTGGGTACTGCAGAATAGCAGAAGGCAGATATACTGGCCACTGGATTAACAGTTTTCTGTTCCCTGACTGACCAGAGCAGGGGCTGCTCCAGACTAATGAAAACATCTGACTCCAATTAACCTGCAAAGAGTCAGGTGAGGCCATTAAGCTAATGTGACCACCTGACTCTAATTAAGGGTCCGCTGATACTATAAAAAGGGCTCACTCCAGTCAGGCAGAGGAGAGCCAGGGAGCCAGAGGAGAAGAAGTGCGGCTGAAGGACTGGTTAATGAAGACACCCTCAAGTTATTGATAAGGGAGCCCTAAGGTAAGGGTGAAGAAGGAGAGCTGTGGGGAAGTGGCCCAGGGAAATGTAGCAACTCTGGCAGTGAAAGGTTGGCTGCCAACAGCTGCTACCATTAGGATCCCTGGACCGGAACCCGGAGTAGAGGGCAGGCCCAACCCACCACTACAGGAACACCTCCTGGGAGGGGAAGTCAGGCCCCTTTCAGGACAGGAGGCTAAACTGTTCTAAAACAAGCCCTAGGGACAACAGAGACTGTGGGAATTCTCTCACCAACCTTCTTGCTGGCTTATGATAAAAAGGGCTCAGTAGACTGTAACCCTGGCTCTAGAGAGAGAAGGGCTACGTGGAGGGTCACAGAGGGCCACTGAGGCTAGCATATACCGCCTAGAAGCACAGGACCCACGGGGACAAGGTCAGAGCTCTGCCACAATATGTATTTATTTATTACTAATGTAACAAAATGCTCTAGCTGAGAGGAGGAAACTCAAAGTTTGGGCTCTCCCATGGAATTGTTCAAAGGCATGATGGCTAGTTGTGGTTTTAAGCATGTGTTTTTTGGATGTTTTTTTTTAATAAATTAGGGCACAGCTACACTACAAAGATAGCCAAGTCAGTGGATCTGGTTCACTAACATGTCTATACTATAGATGCCATTTGTAGTGTGGATAGGACCTAGTCATATTTTAGCCATGTCCTATGATCAGGATGTCCTATGATCAAGTATGGCAATTTTAAATCCCTCAAGGTGTGAAATACCACTCATTGCCAGTGGCTGCTTATGTGACAGCTTCCTTTCAGCCCTTAGGTTTCATTCTATTGAAGGACTATTTATATTAAAAATGCCTTTTAAATAGTGACATCAAGAATTTCCTCCTGAGACATTTGATATATTTCAGCTTAAGTTTCTCATGAAAGGTTTTAATGCTGATGACCATTATTACAGGATACATCTACATTTAAAATGCTACAGTGACACAACTGTGCCGCTGTAGCGTTCCAGTGTAGACACTACATATGCCAATAGGAAGGATTTTCCCAGCGCATAGGTAATTCACCTCCCCAAGAGGCGATAGCTAGGTTGATGGATGAAGTCTTCTGTTAACCTAGTGCTGACTACACTCAGGGTTAGATCAGCTTAACTGTGCCACTCGGAGTGTGGCTTTTTCACACACCAGAGTGACATAGTTAAGCTGACTTAATTTTTTAGTGTAGACCAGGCCTCAGATTTTAGAACAAACATGCCTCATGGTGTAAAGACTGATTCTTTCTTCAGTAAGTCACAGGATGCTCAATCCTTTTTCCCTGGGGAACTCCCCCTGAACAGCTAAGGGAGGCAAGAGCAGCTCTCTGCATCCCTCCAGTGGTTCCCCCTCTCCATCACATCAAACATAAGTTGCTTGTATTCACTTTCAAGATCCTTCACAGTCAGTCCCCACCCCTGCATATCATCTCTTATTCACAATCCACGCTCACTTCTGATTGGCCCATGATGACAGCCTCCATTGCCCACTTGTTAAATTTTCAGACAAGCACCTTTTTCTTTCTCCCATACTGCCCTTCACACTGAGGAGGTGTTCCCCGGAAACATCTGCAAAACTACTCATTCTCCTTCTTCAAAATCCTCCTTAAAACTCTCCTTATCTGTGATATCTACAAAAGACTTGACAATGGCTATGCTTTTCGTGTGCTGAGACCCCTGCCTATCATGCTGGCAATATTGACTCATTGTTTCCATGTACTCCCCTATCTGTCTGTCTGTCTACCTATCCTTGTCTCATATACTTAGATTGTAAGCTCTTTGCAGAAGGACTGTCTTTTTGTTGTGTGTTTGTTGGGTGCCTAAAGCAATGGGGTCCTGGTCCATGACTAGGGCTCTGAGGTACTACAGTAATACAAATACTAAATAATGATAATAGTAATAGTAAAGAGGTGATAGACTCATCTGAAATGTGATGATAGAATTTCAGTTCAATCAGTCTGTTGTTTTGCCAGTATATTTCCCAAATACTAATATCCCAGTATAAAGTTATGTAAAATGGTATCCCTTGGCTTTTATTTGGAGCAGACAATATTTCTCTTTCTTGGATTTCTCTCAGATTTTCAGTCACCTAAGTTAGGTTTCCAGGTGTGAAGGAGTTAATAGCTAACCTTAGGCTTGGTCTGGCAAGCCTAAGTTGTAAAAAGCAATGCTGCCATAAATGGCATGGAATTCTCTGGCTCCAGTGCAACTTTTCGTTGCTGGTTTGTTCACTCACCCCTCCTTCTACTACTGTACTGATCAAGTGAGGGCCATGTTGGGAGGTTTTATAAATAATTTCTTTCTTTTTAGGTTTCACCACAGGCAAATGACAAATGTTATTTATTTTATGCAGTCAATAAATTGTACTTGTGTCTGAGAGGGAAGAGGGAAAAAATGATATACTTTGATTTGACTCCGTGTCTTCTTCACTGAAACTTGCACCTACAGTTTTATTTCTCTAGTTCAGATTTACAATGGAATGTTTGTACTGTAGTGTAGATCATAGTAAATACATAAATAATTTTTACTTATTATGTTATCATAGTTGTGGTAGGGTTGGTATAGCTCTTCCATTTAAATAAATACCTGTCTCCCGGGGTTTAAAACTCTATATCAGGAGTAGGCAACCTATGGCACGCGTGCCGAAGGCGGCACACAAGCTGATTTTCAGTGGCACGCACACTGCCTGGGTCCTGGCCACTGGTCTGGGGGGCTCTGAATTTAATTTAATTTTAAATGAAGCTTCTTAAACATTTTAAAAACCTTATTTACTTTACATACAACAATAGTTTAGTTATATATTATAGACTTATAGAAAGAGACCTTCTAAAAAGTTTTTGACATCGAT